GGCGCCGAGTCTGGTAGTTGGGTGGGCCTTACCTAGCTCTGTCTGTCTGCGTCACTCTTGGAAGAAGGCTACAATGTTGCTGACACTGCATTATGTAAGGCTGCATTTACAACCAGTTGGTCCATGGAATACCTAGTCCACAGATCAAATATGACGCGACTCATTTACAACCAGTTGGTCCATGGAATACCTAGTCCACAGATCAAATATGACGCGACTCATTTACAACCAGTTGGTCCATGGAATACCTAGTCCACAGATCAAATATGACACGACTCATTTACAACCAGTTGGTCCATGGAATACCTAGTCCACAGATCAAATATGGCACGACTCATTTACAACCAGTTGGTCCATGGAATACCTAGTCCACAGATCAAATATGGCACGACTCATTTACAACCAGTTGGTCCATGGAATACCTAGTCCACAGATCAAATATGGCACGACTCATTTACAACCAGTTGGTCCATGGAATACCTAGTCCACAGATCAAATATGGCACGACTCATTTACAACCAGTTGGTCCATGGAATACCTAGTCCACAGATCAAATATGGCACGACTCATTTACAACCAGTTGGTCCATGGAATACCTAGTCCACAGATCAAATATGGCACGACTCATTTACAACCAGTTGGTCCATGGAATACCTAGTCCACAGATCAAATATGGCACGACTCATTTACAACCAGTTGGTCCATGGAATACCTAGTCCACAGATCAAATATGGCACGACTCATTTACAACCAGTTGGTCCATGGAATACCTAGTCCACAGATCAAATATGGCACGACTCATTTACAACCAGTTGGTCCATGGAATACCTAGTCCACAGATCAAATATGGCACGACTCATTTACAACCAGTTGGTCCATGGAATACCTAGTCCACAGATCAAATATGGCACGACTCATTTACAACCAGTTGGTCCATGGAATACCTAGTCCACAGATCAAATATGGCACGACTCATTTAAAACCAGTTGGTCCATGGAATACCTAGTCCACAGATCAAATATGGCACGACTCATTTGAAAGCAGGCTGAGATTGAATTGCTGTGCCCACTTGCTCAGGTATCATGCATGGGAAGCAGTAGTTAATTTATTGCTAAGTGGGCGCCATATTTGATATGCAGTCGAGACTAGTTATTCCGCAGATCAGCTAGTTGTGAACACGTCCCCAGTGATATATATCATGAGATTACTTGGGGGCCTTAAATGGGGGTCAAGTTTGGATATAGGCATGCTTCTATTATCTTTTACATTTCTTGTTCACTGGGTATATATATATATATATATATTTTAAGCAGTGTAACAGGTTTTCAAAATCTTAAAGATGGATGACTCTGGTCTTGAATACTGCTATTTCACCATCACACTGAAACTGTTGGTCTTTAAATAGTTAAAACGCAGTACAGCATCGCTGACTTTTGTTAGTCATTCACAAATTAATTTTTTTTTTGAAAAATATGATAGAAAAAAGATGAATAACACACCAGATTTTATTGAAACCGTACACATGTACATGTACAAAAGGTTACAAGTTATTTTCATCTTCTATCAACTTAAGAACCATGTTTGAAAGATGCTGTTTTGAAAGTCATTTCACTTTGAAAGGTCCTTGGATTACATAATGTTGGGTAACTTGGATTACATAACACAGTATGATACCCAAGTCACTGAAGACTGTTTTCTAACTACCCCAGGATGGGACTGTCTTTACAGTGTTCACGGAAGGACTTGCAGCAGCCCTGCAGGACGGTGGGGCTACGGCAGGCGTCAAACTTATTGTCTGAGAAGATAGTGGCACAGGTGAAGGTATTGCCATCTTTGTCACTGAAGGACGTACCAAGGTGGTCTCCATTGCACTCTGAAATGTAAACAGTTATAATGAAATAAAGTTATATATCAGTGGACAGTATCTTGGTGATTTTTCTTTTCTTTTCTCATTGTCACCCTACCAATTTTTTTATCATCCAGTGGCCATTGAAAACCTACCCCCACTTCAAAACCACTTTGAATCCATCAACATTTCCTGATGGCCACACAATTGTAGAGGGAAATTTATAAAAATAGTCAAGACAGCAGGTGAGGTGATTTGGACAAATATCTGATACATTCATTTACCATTTTATGTGTCTCTTATTCTTCACCCGTTTCCCTTTTCAATACATCATCTTAAACTTATTCAATTCTTAATATTTTTCAAACCTTTTAACACAACAAAATTATTCAGGGTAAATGATTCCCAAAAATCAACATTATATATAATGACTAAATAAATATTCATCTCTGCGTACATAGCCTGCACGATGAGAAATGAAGGCCTCTCTATGCTCACCACACATGACCCCCCTGGTAAGACAGTAGTGCTGGATGACCTGGTGATAACAACGATCTCTATACTCACCACACATGACTCCCCTGGTAAGACAGCAGTGCTGGATGACCTGGTGATAACAAAGATCTCTATACTCACCACACATGACCCCCCTGGTAAGACAGTAGTACTAGATGACCTGGTGATAACAAAGATCTCTATACTCACCACACATGACTCCCCTGGTAAGACAGCAGTGCTGGATGACCTGGTGATAACAAAGATCTCTATACTCACCACACATGACTCCCCTGGTAAGACAGCAGTGCTGGATGACCTGGTGATAACAAAGATCTCTATACTCACCACACATGACTCCCCTGGTAAGACAGCAGTGCTGGATGACCTGGTGATAACAAAGATCTCTATACTCACCACACATGACTCCCCTGGTAAGACAGCAGTGCTGGATGACCTGGTGGTGATGACAGGCGGCCAGACCAACTTTACTGATCAACTCCGAACACGTCATGTTTCCAAGCAGGACGTTGGTTGTGTCTCCATAGCAATCTGGAATAAACGAATCATGTGCCTTTTTGTTTATGGCAGCTTTGACTTATCTTAATGTGTGGGAAGGCATAAACATATGTTAGACTGATGATGGTGGAAGCCACGTGACTTTCCACCCCGGCCCTGCCTCACCAAATTGTTACAGCCAGTTAGATCAGGGCGTTTTTGTGGTACCGGGATATCTGGACAGCACAGAAGATGCTGTAGTAATTTGACTGTCATTTAACACCCTCTCTGTCCCTTGCTACACATTAAAAAGCGGTGTAGGTGTGACTTACTGTCGCAGACTTTCCTTCTGCTTGCACAGCAGACCCCAGCCACGTCTCCCCTGTGACAGGCCGTCTGCCCTGTCTTCATGAAGAAGTCGTGACAGGTCATCTCATTGACGCGGATGTTAGGCGTGTCCTTGCACTCTGTAAAGAGATACATGGTGACATGATGACACATGTTGACATTCGGTTGACATTTTGATAAATATTTATACCTAAATCACTCAGTGATATTTTTCAGGCTGTATACTAGCACATGTCGTTACTGCCTAGAGCAAAGTACTGCTTTGAGCACAGGAACCCTTATGAGTTTGACAAACCAATATAAACCGCTATTTACTAACATTTTTACACTTATTTTCGATTGAATGAAATTGTTATCTTTATATGTGTCATTCTTACATTTCTAATTTTTTTTATTTTCCCTACCTCCACAGTATCTCCATCGTGTGGCACAACATTTCCGTGACAAATCCACGTGGTCACAGAACTTGATCCCTGTAGCCTGGAAAATCTGGAGGCACGTCAACCCGTTCACCGTCGCGCCTTCATCCTGGCAAGCTGAACATTAGAACAAAATATAACTGGAGGTACGTCAACCCGTCACCGTCACCCCTTCATACTGGCAAGCTGAACATTAGAACAAAACAACTGGCCATGAACGCCGTGCGTTAGTCTTATGTCAAACTAATACGTTACTACATACATAAATATTCTGCTACGTCTTGAGTGGAAGGGTTGTTTCGTGTTTCCATGCAACTTGTCCGAACTATAAGGAGAGAGAGAGAGAGAGAGAGAGAGAGAGAGATCTGACTCACGCGCAAACCCCACATTTCTCTTGTGTACAACAGCCTGGTTAGCGTCAAAAAAGGGGTCCACAGCTAAAAAGAGAAAATCGGCGACAAATACAATAAATGGATAGACGTCAACGTTGCACAGAATACTATAAAAAGGACATCTTGTATTTTTTGAAAAACCTATTAACTTACATGTATAATACTGAATGTAACCAGTGAGGAAGACCAACTTAATTACCTTTCTCTCCAGACGAGTACGACACTTCAAACTCCTCCTGTAACCAAAATCAACACATGTAAATTAACTGAAGTATACTACATGTGTATACATGAATAAACTCCTGTAAGCAGCACCTGATAGTCTTGATAAATCTAAGTTAAGGCATACCACATGTTTGTATGCCTTTAAAGAGTACATTATCAAAAATGAGACCATAGAACAGCTTACTCGATTTATTTTCTGACAACTAAATGCCATAGAGCACATATATATTATGTAGATTACTAACCTTAGCAAAGACAACAGCGAGGCAGCAGTACAGCAAAAGTCGCAGCATTTTGACCACAGTTTTGTTCTTTCAAAATGATCTGAGTTAATTCTTATTTTCCTTGGTTTCACCTCACGAATGATGCGTTATATATACCATTTAGCACAAGTCAAATGCGTAGTTTCATGGACAAATCGTGATGTTTTTGAAGACCTGATGCTTGGCGTCACTTTCAAGGACAAAACAACGAAAACCGTAAAACAATCACTGAATCAAAACTTTAGAGCTTCGTACTTTCATTTTTAATCAATTCACAATGTTTAAATGCAGACATCTACAAATGAAATTTACGGGACTGGTTACTGTTAATTGTTCTATCGAATTTTGACAGTTCAGTGAGTAGTATTATCAATCCAACAGAAAGACTACTGTTTTTATGTTGACAGTAAAAGTAAGTTTTACAGTACCTGGGCGTCCGATAGCGGCCAGAAACGCACACGTGGGTACGGGACAGGTGCCGTGGTAATGTTGATAAACAACGTGACCGGTAAGTGTAAACAGTCCCGAGAACGGGTGCTTTAACTTAATTCAAGGAAGGTTATTCACTTGTATTGGAGGTAGACATCTTGGCAGAGACAGGAGTATCGATAACGTAAGGTCTTGGTAGCCAAATGTAGTTAGAGAAGTTAGGGTCGATATTGAGACTTGAGACAGGTGTCAGATCGGGGAATAAATAGGCTAATCTAGTAGCCCCCGAAGTACCACCAATCCCTGTCTAAGATATTGCGCCGTGTCGTTCAGTAAGAATTTTTTTCTACATACAACTCAATGTAACATAAAGGACGTTATGAAATATCAATTCTAATTCAGGTAGATGAAGTACCGATATTGTTGATATTAATAAAAAACAGTATTTTAACTAATTTTACAGATATGAATAGCCCGCTAACCACTTACGCCAGTGGCAGTAAATATGTCATTACTGTCACGTGTTATTCCAGCAAAGAGGCACAGGCAAGTGTTTTGTCATCCAAGCAGGCAAATGGAGTGGCTTCCTTAAGCTTCCTACTGGATCGTTTTATTAGAGGTAATGATATCTTACATATAGATCACTGTTAAAAACTAAAGAAATATGAATGAAAAAAATGTATCTTAAATATTCATTTAATCAGTGCATAAAACTAATGCCTAGCTTGTTTTATCAGTTTTGTTTCCCCACGAAAATAAAATGATGCGTTAATAGATAAAACAAAATAACCAACCTCCTAAAAAGCACCAGTTGCAGAACAGCGGACTAACAGGTAAAAATAATGACATCTTGATTAAGTCAATTATTGCTGTATGTGCCTAGAAAATGATGTAAATAAAGCCAAATATTATTTCACAATGATTCAATCAGACCCTGAAAAGGATGCTTCTTAAATAGAGAGACAAGGATCAGTGAGCTGTGATTCTAAATCAAGTTGTGTCTGCCTAAAATACAGAAAGAGAGAAAAACCTCGCCTTTCATTGCAATATATGGCAGGTATGCGACATAGCTTGGAAATCTTCAGTTTGTTTTAATGTTTTGTTAAATATATCACGTGAAACAGTGCATTAATATTAATACATACAGTAAATACAATACTCACTCCTGCTGAATTTTGTTGCCATACTAAAATTGTGACAACATGTTGTCTTCTAAATTCAATCATTTCTACCAGAGATTAGAGGACTGCACTGGAAGTGGATCAAATGACAAAGAAAACGAACAAAAAAAAAAAAAAAAATGAACCCACAAGTCCTCCAACAAACCACAAAGAGGAGTACAGATGCCTTGTCACAAGCCAGTCAGGCCATTCTTGAGAATACTGCCCAAGGACAATAGAGGTAAATACAAGGACATGACAGAGGGCACATCGTCTAGGATGTAAGGAAACCATGGTGTGTACAATCTTCGTTTTCATTTTAGCTATCCAGTTAAATACTTTTGAACATTGTAAAAGTCGCTACACATGGATATTAATACATCTACAGACTCAACCACACGTCTGCCCTTCTCATTACAGGCAATATCGGTGGACACTAAGATGTTAAAACAGAACAACAATGGTGACAAGTACCAAGATCCAGGGTTGGATCCGTACCGGGTGTGACGCCAAACCAAATACAAGGCATACATAATATGATATGATATACAATATGATATTGTGCACTGTGAAGAAAAATACACTGAAAGGCACATGTGGGTGGCGAAAAAAATATATATATTTGTTGGCTAATTCTATTTGATATAATATAAGTAAAAATACGTAACTTATTAAATTTCATATGAATATAATATTATTATTTTTGATGATATATGAATCTCCATGGGTCGTTTATCATTTAATGAGAAATATATGGAATCTATATGTTTTCTTAATATCTTACCTGTATGAACCTGTTGCTCTCTTTATCATTTATTTATTTTACATGGGTTGGGGGTTCGTTTACATTTATAAATTTAACCGAATAAATTATGTCTATATTATAATGATAGCAAAATATCATTCTTAAATTATTTAACGACATATTCGTTACCAATGTTATACATACAAAACAACGTCTGGGATAATCAGTTGCTAGTTTAGTTGGGAAAATATGTCCTACAAGTGACTGCAGGACTTAGAATACCATGGATCTTTATATAGTTAAAACGCAGTACAGCATAGCGTAGCTGACTTATGTTACTCATTCACGAATTTTTTGAAAAGAATGATAGAAATAAGATGAATAACCCATCAGATTTTATTGAAACCGTACACGTGTACATGTACAAAAGGTTACAAGGTATCTTCTTATTCTATCATAACAATAGCAAAATATCATGCTTAAATTATTAAACTGCATATTCGTTACCACTGTTATACAAACAAAACAACGTCCGAAAAAATCAATTGCTAGTTTATGTCGTACAAGGAGAATGATTCTGGTCAGCAGGACTAAGAATACTAAGTAACGGGTAACTGCGGGACTTAGAATACTAAGTAACGGGTGACTGCGGGACTTCTAGTCCCATGAAAAATGCCCATGGCACGCTTTCCTAGGAACGGGGGATTCAGGACACGCATTTCCTGGGCTTTATATCCGCATTACTTAGTGTCCGCATTCCTAGGGGAATGGCGGACAAACAGTATTTCAATACAAGTGTTTCTCTCTGCTCTTTGCTGCTGACATTGGGCTGGCTCCAGGGGACATTAGGCTGGGACTCCTTAGGATCAAGGTCCCATTACATGTAGCTTCAGTTATTTTGTTAATGGTGATGTGGTTTTCGTGACATTGTGTGGACACACTTGGAATTTGGCACTCCTGCCTCTTTTCATCTTATTCACATGAAGGTGAGGATTTCCTTTTGGGCCGCAACTGAAATTGATGCAAAACCTTAATTATTGATCAATATGTATATATAAATGACATTAATTGATTAAAAAAAATAATATCAACCTCCAGTGAGCCGAATTCCATAAGGACGTGGGCCACATGTCTCATACCATACAGATTTTGATGACAAGTCATCTGAGTTATGTTTTGTTTATTTTATAAAGCTTTAACTTTTCGATTTTTCATTTACTTGCACCTGAAAACAGTTTTAATCGTAGAAGGGACACATAAAGGACGCCGTCCAGTGTGAAGGGGGATTTAAGAACAGAAAATGGGAGATTGAAAATCTCCTGCAGTCAAATCCACGTCTTGCAAAGCTTCTTATACTTTCCAACTCAGACTGTGAAGACAAGACAACCCTTAAAATAAAAGTTACCTTAATTGTGTCGTCATTATCATTTAAGTCTGCCGTGGGTAGCCATTTGCGGCAGAGGGTCGCAATACCCCCCCCCCCCCCCAAAAAAAAAAAAAAAATAATAATAATAAAATAAAATAAAATAAATAAATAAAAACATCATTTAGTATGAAAACGACACAATGTGCGTGATTGCAGATGTCGTTAAATAACTGGGTAGTCTTTTTAAACTAAATCATCAAATTGAATATGGAATAAAACATCGAATCCAAGTGTAGGGTCGTCAAGCAATAACTTGTGAGAAGGAGAAAAAATGCTATTTACACCAGGAAAATTCATTTTGGCCGGGAAATTCCACGGATTCGACCTTTAACCAATGAATTGCTTTTAAAATGTGCTATTATGAACGATACTATCGACTGATGCATTGGATTGGTAACAGATCAAAATATATGTTACGTATGGTACCTTTATTCTGTTGTTTGAATAAAATCATTAATGATCGAATAATGTTTTTTTTTACGGATTTTCGTTACTCAAAATAAACCAATGGTGTTTTAAGTCCAAAAATAGTACGTGCGTTATCGGTGCTGCGTTAAGCCTCGGTCACAACCGGACGCATGAATTTCAGGATCGTACGTCCCCTGCGATTTTTAGGTGTTGCGGAGGCTGTGGAGGTCGTAGAGGTAGAGGAAAGTCTACCTTGCGAGTCGCGACGTTGCGACGTTCACTGATGATGTACTGACGGCGTACGTCAGTTTTGTTTCCTGTTCTCCTCTTCTTTCTTCTTCCTCCTCCTTTTTTCTACTATGTAAGCTTCTTTCTCTTGCCTTTTGGAGGCATATTAGAAACTAAGTTGAGCAAAAATTTTATAAATTTTGAAAATTGTTGTACACGTTGCACAATCGACGTTCACTGTAAAGACACGAGCGTGAGCATGCCTTTTATACACCAGGCGTGGGGGTGACGCACGTGCGACGCATTACCGGTGTGCTCTCGACTTTGTTCGTTAGTTGTGAGGGCGTGTGCTTTACTCAACACGCAAAGGGCACTTGCTCCTTCATTGCTTGCGAAGTGCGTCTTGCACAACGCGCGTCTCTCTTGCTAACTCCGTGCGAGGGGATCACGTTACGCTTGCGGCCTCGCTGTTTGCAGGCTATTCGTAAAATCTTTTGGACATGTCCAACATCATCCGTACGTGCTTACGGGGTGTCTGCGAACTCAGAATTGCGTAAGAAGGACTTGCGTGGGACGTGCGATTCTGCGTAAAATTTGGACGCAAACACCCCGTAAGAGCCCACACCGAGGCTTTAGCGTAGGGGCAATCGCATTCCTTGTTCTTTCCTTATATCGTGTTTTTTGACTGATCATATAATTACGATTGCCTGGAGGCCCCAAACTGTAACACAAGGCCCACTTTTCAACAACTACTTTTTTATGAGCATAACCTTAATGCATGCGGATTTCAAAGCATAACTTGTAAATATAAAGTTCAACCGACATAATCTCAAGAGTATAAAAATTAAGATATGTTAAAATCTCTCCCAGACGACAAAAAAGTGGACGTATACTGATACACATAAATACTCACCTGATTGCCAGACATGAGAATGGAGGAAACGGCTCCTCTGAGGGTCTTCACTCTAAAAAAACTGTCAACTACTCAGATCTGGAGCGATTTGATGGCTACCTAATAAGGTGTGTATGAACCCCTTTGAAGCTGAAGTGTGACGGCGACGTGTTGGAGATTCTGCCACCTCATCGGGCAAGGCCAGTAATTAAACGGTCCTCCAAGGAGACCATTATCATGTACTTTAATATGGAATTGTTTAAACCTATCTTTCTTGAATGACCACGTGACGTGCTGTGATAACGTCATAGATATGGCATCAGGATTCCACTCAAAGTTTGGTCTATACTTGGAGGAACAGACATCCAGGGTGGATTCGTTTTCGATGACTAGTCTCGCTAATGGGATCTCTCGATGCATGTTACAAATGAACTTTCTTCCATTTCACTCCTATTCTGCATAAGGGACATTTCTTCAATTTTAACCCGCAAGACTCACACGCTACCATGTGGAAACAAGGTATAAAAACCCCTTCGCAGTCTGCATCGAAGCATATTTTGCACCGTTTTTCCTTTTTTAAGGATTCGTTCTCGTCTTTTACGTAATCTGTAAACGGTAAGCATAATAAAACTATAATGCTCATATTTATCTTTGTAAAAGTAACAATGAGCAGATCACATTGGATAGCGATTGGTTAATATTGTCTTATACTGTTTTGATATAGTAATTAATGTACAACACCAATTGGTGTAAAAACTTTTGTCAATGCAGTGTATGAAACACGTATGTTTAGATACCTAAAGGTTCGGGAGTTTAATGGGTTATTTGTTATGAAAATTGAAGAACCAAGAGACAAACAGCTTACGAGATACTTGGTGAAGGTATAAAGCTAAATTGCTGTTTCTGTTTTCGTCATGAACCATTTCCCAATCGCCAATGTGGTCATGTTATATTTTAATTAGTTAATTTACGTGTACGTACACTGCGACCATTTTAATCGTTTTTTCTTTGTGAATTTATATTATTACATTTATACAAGTAAAATCTATTTATCTTTCCAAGCTGCCCTACAGCGGTCTACACTAACAAAGATGTCCCCCAGTCATTTCTGTGTGCGCTTCATTCTGTATCACTTACCGTAGTCAGTTTGTATGTATGCGTCAGCACGAATTCGATGTGGGCTTATTGTCGGGGATCCTGAATTTGTGGGTAATTTTATTTCAGCTGCAAGTCTCACATCCTCATCCATACCATCTCCATGTGACGCAGCTGAGATGCTTGTCTCCTGTGCCTTTAAATATATATAAGGGAATAATACTGAATATATATATATATATATATATATATATATATATATATATATATATATATATATATATAGTCCCGCCACCCACGCCAACTATTTCGCCCCCCGTAAAGGAATTCTGCACCAATTAATTATCTTATCTATTAATTTATTGACTTATTTATTGATTTATATTTCAGTTTGGGGACTTACATGGTGTGTTTCTTGTACATAAACAGATGTGGCAGTGCCGCAGACCATATTTGGGCGGCTCGGTGTAGGTGTATGTACCGCTTGCCAGGGCTCCATATGACACGACGAGAACTGCACATCCTCATTAGAATCTATAATAACGGTATAATATGTAAATGGTTTATTTGTTGTGACCTGTCATAGGTTTTATTTTAAGTTAACATGGACACAAAGCCAATGAAGAATTATGTACTCGGCAAAACCGTTATATAACAGCTTAACAGCAATTTTTGTACCAGTATATTCAAAAACATTTGTAACAGTATCCTTACATATCATTCTGGTTCATTCTCTTTTACACCAACTTCTATGAGAGAGAGAAAGGAAGAAAGTGCATCAGGGGAGAGAGAAATAGTTGACATAAAAAGCTGGTATAGACTACTAGAGGGAGTTAGAGACGCAAACAGAACATGGGGCACTTTTATCACTTGAAAAGAAGTAAGATTTTATCCAGTAAATGTACGTGTCAAGCTATTTTATTTAACTGATTATGCATGGTTGCTGTATTATAAAACATCCGCGTCATTAAAATACTACTGAATATTTCCCACCCTGTAGTAGTATAGTAGTAGCAGCAGCAGTAGTAGTAGCAGTAGTAGTAGTAGTAGTGCCTTAAGTTAATTACAGATGTACAAAAACGAAGAAGTTCTCTGCCTTGATACTACTTACTCGTAGCATGTTGATTAAGCACCATGTTATCGAGCCCTGGCTGGGGCATACCACCCTGGTAGTGAGTTTTCGAGAGCCCTTGGTTACCAGATATTTGGCCATTGATCACCTCTCGGGCATCCGATGGTGTTTCTAACTGTAACTGCCGTTCTGAAGACGGTTCGAGTTCTTTCTGTTGTTCTGCCAATACAAAGCTGGTGCTTGTTGTAGGGGTTCCTTCCGCATTCATACCATCACTGCACGGAGGACGGTGACCATAAACCTGCTCCAAAAGAGGAGTTGGTGAACAACGGTCGTTCGTGAGGCTATCAGAGCTCTGGCCAGGGTCTCGGATATCTGTTTCGTTTGATTCCGTTTGTGTTCTACCTGAAGCCAGGTTTGGAAACGGGTCGTTTCCTTCATTTTGGGGCAGGCGGTCATACAAAGGAACGTCCCCAGAGTCGTGGCCAGTCACATGTTTGCAATGTGGAAAGTAATAGCGGTGTGTCTGGAAAGGACGGTCACTCTCTTTCCAGTTACTTATTCTGCCTCGACAGCTAAAACATATCACCTCGTCTGCACTGGCTGTGTAAGAAAACCCCGCAGATGCCAGTGGCAGGCATTTGGGTTTTCCTGGCCATGTTCTAAAACTTGCTATTCTTTCTTTTTCAAACCTGTACTTTGCATCAGGTGACCCGAAACATCCAGATAAAAGCCGTGCCATGGTTTAATTGTTCCTAGCAGTATCTCTATTGCAGTATGTCCTCTGTATATGGATACATGGCCAAGGCAATCTACAAAATAAAATTAAATAATTAAAAATAATGAAAAAATATATTTCACCTAACGTCTCACTATTATCCTCGCAAGTTACTAAAGATGTATTGATATACAAATGTATTTTACCCATCTCAACTACGATTATCTACAAAATTAATTAAATATTTATAAGTATACAAAATAAAGGAAGAAGGGAAATAACATTAAACCCTCCCGTCCCAACTGCCTTTGCTCATGCATAATTCGTCATTTTATAGTGTCTTAAATGTAATAAAACATGGCGACAAGTTTGGGTTGCTAGTCATAATAGCATATAACAAAGCATGGAAGCTTATAAAAGATTTGGTCACTCAGTACCTCTGTTACACAAAAAAAAAAAAAAACTTGCGGTAAATTTCTATGCTATGTATCTGGAATAGTATTTCATCAAAGACCATATATATATATATATATATATATATATATATATATATATATATATAAAAGAAAGGGTTAAACAAGAAGTGTGCACGGAAAAATATTGAAAGGATGTTATACAAAGGAGGCTTCGAGTTCGACCACATTGCATTTCAGGGAAGATGTGCCGCATTAATTTTATTTAAAGAGTGCATTTCACCGGAACAATTCATTGACTGCGCTGACGAGGGACTGTACATTAAACATAAAAGGTACCAAAGTTAAGGCATCGTCTCCGGTGCCAATCGAAGAGATGTTCATGGTCAGATTATTTTGCTTTACGGTTGACGAAGAATTAACCGAAGCACGAGGAGTGTCAAAGGCGCCGCAAAGGGATACGTGGTCCAAACTTTCGAGTACTTGTTTACGTGTTTCTAGATCAGTATCTACCGAGGATGACGGAAAGGTCGCGGTCTCCGATAAAATTTCGAACCCTCTGAAAAGACAGCTGTTCCGGTTCATTCTGTTGGACCTCCTAGAATTACCTTGTTTTCGGGAGAAAGCGTCAAAGGTGATATTACATATAATCAGTGGAGGTCTGAAGTGATAACATTACTAGGTGATAGTGTTTTTTCCGATCCGATTATTTTACATGCAACCCGTTAGTCGGTTCGACGATCAGCTGCCGATGCTTTAATGTATTGTGGGGAAGGAGCTTCTGTCAATGCAATATTGCAGAAATTTGACAGTATTTTTGGGGACGTTGTACCCGTAGATGCTGCATTGGAAAAGTTTTACTCAGCAACCCAATACTTTNATTTTCAAATATGGACATAAGAGTATCGATAAATTTTTTAGTCAGCAGGTGGACATCGGACTCGAGTTTAAACATGCCGTCCCAGTCGAACTGAGTTATTTCGATTTTTAGCCCTTCAAGGTTTGCATGGTCGTACTTCCATATGGTTCTATAGTAAGGTGAATGCTTACAGAGAGTTATGTCTATGGAGGTCACTAATGTAGCATGGTCTGTGCGTCCAATCGGTGCTTCCACAGAAGATCTTAGTACCAGGCCGGGAATGTCAGTCACAGTCAGGTCAATACATGAAACAGAGCTTCCTTGAATTCGGGTTGGCTCATTTATTAACTGGTCAAGGCTATGTTCGCAAAATATGTCGCTTAACATTCGACCTGGCACATCATCACCTCCCTCCAGAAACCATTGCCTGTTATGAGCATTAAAATCGCCATTTATTATGATTCCGTCATGCCGAGATCGTCTTGTTTTCTCAAGGCATTCGGATAGAAGGGACATAAAAATGTTCCTCTGTTGGGCTGATTGATTAGGAGATCTGTAGAGTACACCGTAAAGAAGAGTTTTGTGCTTCACTCGCAGCTCCACCCAAAGGCAGTCCAGACCATCTAATTGAAGATCAGTTCGTTCTTTATACATTATATCATCGCATATATACAAGATAAGCCCTCGGCCATTATTAGAAAATACGGGTACTTGAAAGCCTTCAATATTATACTTTTCACTCCGAGCTATTCGACAGATATTTCCTGCTTCGCAAAGCCCAACTACGTCAACTTTAGCATTTTTAATTCTTATTTTAAGGCTCTCGAAGCGTTCATCAGCATCCGCGCTAAGACTCCTTATGTTTGAGAAAAGTATGGTAAGGGGGATCGAGTACGGCCCTGGGTTGGGGTGGACATCTCCAGATAGTAGAATGATCTCAAGCATGATAATAATTACTAGGAACAGAATCACTATTGGTATCAAATGAAGTGTGACTGGTGTCAGTTTGTATGATCCAGACGATAGCTTATGTATAACACAATAGAAATGGCCAATTGCGACCCTCCACTGACCTAAACTAATCCCCATTCATGTGAATGATCATCAAGTACCCCCGTCCCCAGCCATGCCCCCGCCTTAGTCCTCTAAGGCTATATTTAGGAAAACAAGACTTCAAAAAGTTAAAGAACATGATTAAATGAGAAAGAACAAAACAGAGTAGATAATGCACTTGACAGGTCGTATAGTGTAGATTGAGATAGTACGGTGGAAAGAAAAGGCAAAGTTTGGGATGGCTTCGGAGTTAAATACGGCTGTAAGTTTTCTACCAGTCTCCATTAGTAAGGTCGTTAATGTGCAAGGCTTGCATGTGCTAACTAATGTCATCTAGGCCAGTTATTGATTACTATTTCGTCCATCATACAACAGTTAATGGTCAACAGAAGTTGATAACAGTAAGTCATCCATTAATCATTTGGTATCTCGTCACTATGAGCCAAGTACCGTGTAATTGAATTGACATTTTTCTAGATTACACACCAGCTTAATAATGCATTTATCAATTGATTAATAGAGACATGACTCTAAAACATACGTAAAGTCATACTAAAGCTCATCGAGGATAATCACCAATAAATATTTAGTCAGTTACACCTCAGATTAAAATTTTGTATTTTCTGGCTGGCTATATAGAGAGACAACTCCATAGTTATTTTCTCCATGTGGTAACAGGATAACCGATCAGCCGTATAGATGTTTACATGCTTGGCTAAAAGGATGTGATATAGCTGACTAACTTGGCTGTTCTTCAGTGACAAATGGAAGCACACAAGCTTGACTAAGTAATGATGCTGTATAGCTAGCTACCTTGACTGTTGCACGGTGGCAGATTGAAAGCACACAAAACTATACGACGGCTACTCACACCACTTGATTGCGTGGTTTACGAGTTACGGGTGGTTTGGCAGGGGCATTTTCCATATCGGTGATAATATTGTCAAAGTCGTCAGTTACTTGGAAGACACGAATGACTCCGTTTTTGGTTTTTCCAAGAATTTTCCCT